TGAAGATTCTCTATCAAGGAAAAAATATATAAAAACAACCTAGGAACTGTAGAATTTAGTAGTCAGTATAAATAAGCAATAAACTTTAGAATCGATTTGAACGGTCTTGTTAAAATATTATTTTAGATAAAACAAATTTACGAGTTAATGACTAGTGATGGACATTTTCCAGCACGATGCTATTAGAATTCATTTAGCCTTTATTTCCAACAAGTTTTCAAATAAAGGATGGATTGTAGTTTCATCGGCACTACGAGCATGAATCTAATGTATAGAACCATTGGGAAAGCTAGCTTTTAGTTATGCTGAAATATGACTGCTTAAGTACGTGCCACGCGTAGGGCTCTTTAAACAACAATAAGTATCGCTCACCGAAACGAAATTAGCCAGATCGTTGGCTTCGTTGCCAGTAGTAGCGAGCTGCAGCCAGCGACATTGGTCAGCAAGCAGGGCATTTCGGTGCTGGAGTTCAGCAATACGAATCGCTTGACCAATCGGCTCACCTGCTTGGTTAGTCGATGTGCCCAGGTAACTGTTGTATAGGCTAGTCATACCCCCGCGAGTCAACGGTGAAATTGATGAATTGGCTGGTTCCACAAGCATAGAAGTAGTGTCGTGGCGATATGGAGTTCTGGTGGTCAAGGCGTCGCGAAGTTAAAGGTATGTAAGCAAACACACAAAAATGCAATAACCATAGTAAGATTGATTGGCTTAGAGACCCGTCTCATTTCGCTAAGTATCCCGAAAGGAAACAAAAAAAGCCATGACGGGCTAAGTAAAAAGGTTTCCCTTTTCATAAAAGGGACCAACGAAACTAAGAGGGACAAGGTGTTTGAACAATAAACTAAATTAAAAAAACCTCTAACAAGATTTTAAGTGTTATCAGATTATTGTGGATTCAACAAAAAAAGATGACACTCACGTTCTGGCAAGTTGCGAAAGACCCAGAGATCGAGCGCCAATTTGTCCAGTGCCACCAGCAGATGTTACGTTGGCAATATTATTACGCCAGAATTGG